CGAGAGGATACGCCACGACGGGATGATCATATTGGATGTTCGCATTTGGGTCAGAGTTTTGATTGAAGAGCTGCCATCATTAATTGAACAAACGGGCACCTTTGTATCCTTTGGCGCACCTGGTATTTTTATATCATATGATCGACGATACGCGGCCGCATACGGATGCGTTTTACAATGTGACAGTCTCTCCTGCGCGCGCGAGTATGTGTTTAAAGGGTGGGATATCGATAGTTCCGCAATATACCTTATTGCGCTTTGTCGGCCGAACGGATTGCGGATCAAAACCCGAAATCCGGAATCCCGTGTTAGATATTGTCGATCGTAATACTCGCTTTGAGAATTAGTAGATGCGAACGATTGTACATTTAATAAACATGCAAGATGCATGACGGATACTATCGTCGCGCGGAGTTACGTTGTTTATTTATAAATGTCTGGCACTTTGGTTCTCGCTCTGACTCGTAAATAATCGACGCTTGTTTCGATCTGAGCTTTGACATGCTGCGACCTCTCTGTGAAAAACACGTTAATTTCAAAATCGAACGTGTGAAGGGACTTCTCACTTCACGAAAAGTATTATCTCTCTCTCCGATGATTCCATATTTTATCGCCTCCCGATGATCCCCGACGACGAACTTTGATCCGCCTTTATTTCCCAACCGCGGCTGATGTCGTTCCGGCTCGATATTATTGACATTTTCACTGGACGTTCGGCCTGTATTGATAAACCCGTTTTACGAGCGACTTGGACGAGATAAAAAACAACAGCGGCGGTTCGATGGGACGAAAGCAATTAAACGGCGCTCCGACAGCACGCCCGTGCGGTCATCACCGGTAGTCATCATCGTCGCGATATCGCGTCACTGTATCTCTAGATTATTGTCGCTTTCGCTCGACGGTCGGATTTCATCGCGATGTGCGCGCGCGCGAGAGAGAGAGAGAGAGATGGGAATGGGGGGAGGGGGAGAAAAACGGACACGAAGCCTCGTGATGCGATGCCACGAAAGCAATTAAATTGCGCACCCAGGAATATAGTTACTGCGGTCGCGATGCCATACCTCGAGACTATTGACCGTTCTCCGCTCCCTCCCCGCCCCGGGGCACCCAGGAATTAGAGATAAATCCTATTTCGCGGGGCATTCAAAAGCGAGGAAATTATACGAATCACCCCAATTTCAGGATTAACTCGAAGCACCGTGTACGCGTTTACCTGCGCTGTCATTAAAGCAAACATTTCCTACGCGAGGTAGGGAATATACACATACGCACACATATATATAACATTGTGTGTGTGTGACGTTCGTACGGAGGTAATATCAAAAACATCGGGAATGTTTCCGCCTCGTCTCTGATAAAGCATATTTTCGTTCGTGAAAAGTATCGCGAAACGTACGTGGAAACCTTTGAACAGTCGATGAAAGAAGCACGAGCGTGCGCCATTATTTTCTTTTTTCTTTTCCTTTTTTTTCGATATTATCCACTGCTGTTTGTGAATTCGCCAGTAAATTTTTTTCCACGTTACCAAGCGATTTTATATATTGGCGAAAGAGAGAATGTTAAAAGGAGACACACGTATATCACCAGTATTCGGGGTGTATCGAAGTGTGCCAAGTAATCTCAGAAATAGTTGTAATATTTCTGCCGGATGTAGCAGACACGCCTACGTGCTGCTCCTATTTCTATCAAGAATCCTCTCCGTCGTGGAGACTCGGTCGGAGACACGCTAGAAGACTTCGCCTTCCTCCCTTTTTTTCGTTCTATAATCGTTCTCTTTCGATATTACGAGCACCCATCGCGTGGCAGTTTTCATTAACCATAACACAACGTCTCCGGTGAGATCTATTTTTTATTTAGTATCATTACTCAGCACGTTCTTGCTTTACCATAATAGGTCATTCGTTTACCATAATAGGTGTTTCAGCAATTATGTTATGCGAGCGTTGCAAGCATATAGTAAAAAAAATTTGTGTTAAAAATGAAAAAATTCGACTGAGATTTTTTAGTATTTTAAAAAGTACACAAATATAATGTTAAATTAACACGTTTACCTTGTCAACAGGTTGTGTATGTATAAGTTGTAAATGTGTAATTTGTACTTTTTAATGTTCCCCATGTTAAAGTAACAAATTTCAGTGAACCGTTTCAAATAAAATTTTTACTGTACATGAAAAAAGTTAAAGACGCGTTAAGTATACGTGGATTCCAAGATACCTGTTGGGCAAGCATGATCGACAAGTGAGATCTCCGAATAGTTTCTCCTTATATAATAATTAGCAAAATCTACACGGGAAGATCTATATAAGATTCGCGAGTCGAGCACGGCTGTTATATAATTCATAGAGCGTTTCGCATCGCTGTGAAATATCGTGTCGCACTTCGCGCTTTTCGTACGTCACGTTTCAACCCTGCATCTGATCATACAATGTTACTGAAACGACTACTAACGAAATTACTGAAGGTGCCTCTCCGAAAACAGTTAATCGGTTATGGCTCTTTGTTCATGAGATAGTTTCCTCTTACACGAAAAAAAATCACGAGTATGCCTTCGATGAAAAGCGGGTAAAAGCGAGACGATAAACTAATACAATCAGGCGAGTTGCCTCGTAAATCATGGAGGTATTCGCCGATGAAAATTAACAACGACGACGTCGATCATTAGGAGGGAGCTATTCGAAACGAGCAGCACGAATCACTTCTCGGATAACGAGATCGTATCGCAAATGGACTCCGTGTCGCAATTGACGGAAATCGTTCGAGACGCGCACGATAAAGAACGATCGTCGGGTCGAGAAACTATGGGGAGTTCAAAAGGTCAAATCCTTCTCGGAGGCGGCCTCAGCCGAATTATTATCGATCTGTTCGCTCGCCGAATTCACGAGGCCGCGCTTCCACGGACGGGAGCGTGACAGAACGATCGTCCGTCGCGGGTTCACGTGGCTTCTATTGATTTACTACGAGCCCGCCGGTTTCGCGAAAGACCACACCACCGCCACCGCCGTCGTCGCCGCCGCCGCCTCCGCCGCCGTCGTTGCCGCGAATGTCCGCCGTGAAAAGTTCCCCGATCGATCCGGTGTCAGTTGGAATCTGCCCGTAACCACCGTCTGAAGTATACGGTCACGCTACTTCGCGACAATGTGCCACGGAGGTTCATTGACACGGCGTTGCTGTAGGCTGCATGAGCGTCGTGGCGCTAACTGTGCCCATTTCACGAGAGAATTCCGATAAAACTACCCCGCTTCGATCGATATTACACGAAGATCGCATGTTAGAGTAACAAAATCAAATGTCTGTCGAATCAAATTTTGTGGAGTATCGTACGACAACGATGACAAGTAATTTAATCCTGACGTTCCTCGATTTCTTTCTTTTCATCTAGTCGCATTTCTTTTTTCAAATAAACATGGTAATTTGCTGAATACAGTGGTCATTTATTAAGTTGATCTTCATATTTTACCTGATATCGGCGAACGCAACATTTTTATTTAGCAAATAAGAGAAAAACTTATTTATTAGATAATTTCTGAGCAACAACTTGCTCGCAAGCAAAAATCGATAAGTCGGCTCTTCTTGGGAATGAAAAGATGAAGACTGGCAAATCCGTGGAAGAGTTGCTCGTTGAGTCGTCCGAAAAATGAAGAAATCGTACAAGAATCATCGTGAAAAGCGGCACCGAATTTGGGACCGCGTTCCTTCGGTCAGCGCGAGACGGAGGAGACTCGAATAAGATTACCATGAAATTGAAAACGACGAAAAGCAGAGGGGTAGTTAACACGGTACAGGCATCCGCCATTATTTCCCATCGCACGCGTGGCCATCCTCTCCCGATCCTCCGAGATGCGTATGAAAATGCATGTTTAATCAACTACGGTCACCAGCATACACTGCATGTACTCCCGAGCGTCTCTGAGAATAATTCAGACGTTGAAATGTCCGTGTTCCGCAGAGCCACGTAAACGCGTGAATACACTGTACAGTCTGTCCATGATACACGCGAGGAGCTTTCGCGTTGATCAACGTCAGTCGGCAAGATTGAATACTTTCGGGAGAAATGGCAAATGTGCTCGCGCCAGAGCGGGTTCACTTATCGATGCGAGATTGAAGGTCTCCTTGAAATTGCAATCGACGTGATCGATAGCACCGGTGCCTGTTGTCGAAGAACGCCTGCTACGTCGTTCCACGATGATTCGCAGTCTCGCAAGGGGAAAGAGGACTTTGTTCAACAGAGAATAACGGGCGGAAATAACTGAACCAGCTGAGACACGTTAGTACGAAAAATCTCGAGACAGTCGACGCGAGTTGACGCGAGATCGGGCTGAGATATCAAGGCGATGTCCCGCGGAGAAGTGACGACGAGAGACAACGTGGTACGCTTTGACCCGTGCGCGTGTGTCGTCGCGACCACATCAATCGCGATTACGCGGCAGCGTGTTTATCGCGTTAACACCGATGCACAAGGTTCATGCGAACCAGCCGTCTTATCTCCGCACATGTGGCCGTCGATCGGCAGCGGACTGACTCGCAGAGTGCATCCCGATAGCGCGCATTCCTCAAGGGTGCAACTCGCGCGACACGCGGTACTAAGACACACATCGCGCGCTTCCACGGGGAATCTCGGCGGCACGTCACTCCCTCTCTCTCGATCTCCCCGCCGCGCGAGAACCGAAGGTGCGAACACGGGATGCAGCGCAACGGTCCACGACGTCCATGCGACACAGCAACGCCACACGCATTCCCGGTGAAGAATCGCGTAAGTCGTCGGAGATAGGCAGGATCAAGGACAAGCTCGTGCGGGAATCCAGGACGCGACAGTCGGCGACGGAGGGATGGTGGGCGAGAGGGAAAGAGAGCAGGTCGCAGGGCGTACATCCGTACCTCCTTACTTCGGCAAAATCAATAACCTGTTTGGGGGTGTAGGAGAGAACCTCTCCTAAGGAGAGAGAGGCCATAGCACCGCCGCACTGGATCCGCGCGCGCGAGCCAGGTGAATTGATACGTACGCGAGGGCCAGGTGCTAATGCGCCGCGCACGGAGAGAGAACGGCTCCTCCCCAGGACACCCGGTGCTCCGGCGTTGCGCAGGAGTGCGAGGACACCACCACCGCGGTAGCCAGCCCCGGGTGGCGAGAGCCGAGTTCCTTCGCACCTGCGACACCCCTCGGTAGGGAAACAAGCTCGCTCCAGCCAGCCGATGTATCCGAGTGACCGCGAAATTCGAGCGGCGTGTCGGCGTACTCTCTCGCTCGAGTCACACCGGTGTAGTCGGCGATACCGGAACTGCGATACGTCGTTCCACGACAGGTCTCTCTCCCTCCCTCTCTCTTTGACACTCGTACTCACGGGTACACTTTCACCCGCAGTTGTCCCCTCGGAAAACCGCGGCGCGCCGCTCCTCGGAGCGTACACCGACGCGACCCGAATAATGATCGACGATGCGGCTCACAAAACAGCAACACCGACTCTCTCTTTCTCTCGAGAGGAGCGAAACGGGCGTGCACTTCTCCGTCGCGCGCGGCTGCTACTCCCGTGGCCAGCGCACTCTCGTCCGGATATCGGCCGAGACGTCGCGCTAGGGTGGCGCCCTCCGGGACGAAGGGGTGAGTTTCGGTACGCGCGCGTCCGCTTTCGTGCGTACGAGAGATACCGCACGCTTCTCTCTCGGCGCAACTCCGAAACGAGGCGAACTCGAGAGACGCGGCGCACGCTTCGTAGCTGTCGTCGCGGCTGTGGGGCGCGGACCACTACCTCGACGAGCCTCCCGGATCGTTGGATAAAACTTGGTGGGGCCGTTCCGGTCTACGTGCGAACTCCCCACTTCTCGTCGTGCTCTCCCACCATCGATGCGCGCGGACGGTCGACCGATGGTCCCGCTAACCCCGCTGTACCCCCTTTGTCCTCCCTCGCCCTTCGACGTAGACGGTGCCGCCATGAGGAGCGTCGCGCAGCGGCGTCGTCGTCACCCCTCGGGGGTGCGCGCGCGCACACGCTTCGCTCGTCTACGTTGTCTGCGTGCCGTTAAAGTTGCGCGTCACCCCCAACGCCGACATCCACGATCGAGAATGAAGATAATCGGTGTGCGCGGGGGGTGTGGTGGTCGCCTCTCGGATTCGATGGCCTGCGGATTCTTGGCGAGCGAACCTCGCCGGATAGGAGAGAGAACTCTTATAATCTATTACGCACGCGGAGAGTGGAAGTCCCGGACGGCGCACCGAGGATCGCGGATCTCTATCGGGGTTAGCGCGCGATATCTTTTGTTGTCCCACTGTCTTGTCGCCGGCATTCTCTCGAGAGGTGTGTGTACGTGTGTCTGTGTGAGAGAGAGAGAGAGAGAGAGAGAGATAAATCGTACATTGCGAAAAAAGGTACTTAAACAATTTATTTGTGAGATGTGAGCTTTATTCCTCTGAGAAACAAACCTTGTATCTCTCAGAGATAAACCTTATTTCGGCGAAATAAACTTTGTATTCCCTGGAAAGAAATTTTCAAGTACTTTTTTCTCGGTGTATTCTTGTGAATCGACGAGATCTCGCAGTCGACGCTACCCTCGTTTTCCTCTTTACTTTTCGTTTTTTGTTTGTTTGTTGTAATCCCTCTGCTGCTCACTTTCATCCCGGCGCTCGGACGGCCGAGTTCCAGTAATTTGCTCATTCCGTAAGTGCGCTTCCGGCATTTCGTCAGTGCTAACTTATGGAACGTAATGAGCCCTGTGTAAATTAAAGTCCATTTTCGAGTACATATGCGAGAGAGAGAGCCATTATTGCGAGGCTGCGAGCGCGGAAAGGCTACGGCGGACAATACACTTTATCCTACCGTCGTTATTCGGAAAAAGACCTTCGTAATAAAACGTATGTGACGTATATAGTAATCTTCCCGGTGATACGTGAGTCGGGAGACAAGATCTCTCTCGGTGGAGTATACAGAGGGCGGTCCGGGGGGTAAAGGGAAGGAAGAGACGCCGCCGCCGGTAGTGCTCTGTTCGCAACGGTAGCATTTAACGACATTTTAAAGTTAATCAGCGTTGCATATTCACCTTTTTCCTCTTTCTTTTTGTTTAACTGCCGGCGGGGCGAGCCGCATCGTTTGCATACTTTGTCGGAGGCGGCGGAGCATCTGGCCGCGATAAGAAATCGAAGCGCGGTAGACCGTCCAGCTCGTTAATGAACCGGAAGATGCGCGTGAATCACGAAAAAGAAACGCGGCTGAATAATCCCACCTCGGTACATCGTCGACGGGAGCTTTGCTGCCCCCCTTGCCCCGCCAGAGTCCACCCTTAAGACACCGCGCGCGGCCGACCGCGGCCCGCGGAACGTGACCTTACTTCCTACGACATCTGGACATACCTAAAATTCATCACGACGTACTGCGAACGCCCGGCATCCTAAATGTTGTAATCTCGTGCTGGATGTCCGACGAAATGGACACGGGAGCTTGCGCGGTATGAGCGGATTGCACGTCTATTTTCATAGCTTTCGGTTTCGTACGGAATACCGCTCGCCTTTGTCTCTCTGCGCTGCGGGGTACCCGACTGTGTATTCGAGGAATGTATCTTCAGTGCGAATGAAATAAATTTATTCACAAAGATTGTTAGGATTAGCTAGAGACATTTCGTTTTATGTTGAGTATAGCGCTGATAAATTACGCGCCTCAGCTAGTGAGTATTCATCCAAAGTGAACTTTTTGCCGGAACGTCTTTGTCTTTTAAATATTCACTCTTCCAGCGATGTTAAATTCAATTTAACTTTAACTTGGCACATATAATTATTTTTATATATTTATTTTTCACTTCATTTTATGTGTATGATTTCATTATATTATCAACTTTTGTATCTTTTTACACTTTCGCCGTTAAATACTGTTTCGTGTTCATATAATATGTTTTTATTTATGTATTGCTTGATCTATCAATATAACTGAAAGATGCTCTCTCTTTCCATTAAATAATAGTAATAATAATGATTATTATTACCATTATTATTATTACATTTCGTTGTCGTTCTTTTCTCATAACTATTAACCGTTACAGCGCGAGATGCATATTTTATCTTTGCAGCATGAAAGGATAATTACGGATGTTATTTTTGTATAATTTAATTAACGCCAGTCTTGATTTACCCAATATTCTGGCGCTTTTATATCTCTGCTTTAATATCTCTGCCAGACACCTTAGAAGATATCTACTTTCCTTTATTTTATATCATCGAGCGCCGTATAGAAGGTTTAAACCCGTTAATCGGCTCAGCGTGCTGACTAATATATTTTCTGATTGTATTTAATTTCTTTAATATGTCACAAAGTATGCTTAGAAACAAATTACGTCCTCTGCTCATGAAAATGTAAATTCTCTTTTCTTGTCTTTTTCGTCCTTAATAAGCGCTACTGTATTATTATTACTGTTTTTTTTTTATTTAAAAAAGAAATTTTCTTTTTATTCCAAAGAGGAATTTCTCTCGTACATATTATAAATAAATAAATAAACGTTGAATATTTCATAGAATACACGCTTATGCTTTCTTACATAAAATTGAAGACAAAAAGCCTCTTGTTCGAAATATAAGAAGTTCATCGACGGTGCCTTTTTCGGAAATCGAAGACATGTTTCCACTATTATTTGTTTAAAGGAAGACTGCTGTACCAATATAAAATTGAGCCAAAAGGGGAGATCGGTGGGAGGGGGGAGTAGGGAGGTGAAAGATAGAGGCAGCCACGCGTTACGAGTCACGTATTTAGGGTGGCATCAATAAAAGAAGGGTCAGAACTATTGATCTAGAATAATGCCCGGCGGAACAGTCGCAATCGCATCGATCGTAGCGTAATAATAACTTTCCAATAAAATAGGAGCTTTGCGTTCTGCCGGCATCGCAATTGTGATTTTCACGATTCGACGTGCCGACAATCAAGTCCCCGAGTTCCGTCCATGTGTGAAGACCCACTTACAGCTAATCCAAAAGCTAAATCTTCTTCATCGATTCACAACCTCGAAGCTCGACTGCTCCCGCTTAAGTCCTTTAATGTCCGAATAACTTCGTGTAGCATCGTTACCCTCGTAGTTGAAGCGACCGTTGATTTTTCTCACGATTTCATCGCGTTTCAACGGTGTGAGTCTGCGACACCCTGTACGCGAGCAATACGCCGTGCAATATGTCGGAGTGACGGCATCCCAATCAACGGCGTCACTTTTCATCATCAGAGCGTTCCTCGATGTAACTCGTCGACACTCTTTGTCTCCGTCTACTCTCGCGCGCGCGCGAGTGTCGCCCGCGCGTTGTATCGCGCACGAAGCCCATTATTCAAGCCCTTATTATTGGCAGCCGGCGTGCGTGCATGTCGCGACATTGCGCGACCGGATGCAAGGAGCATACACGCGGTGCTCACTCGTGTGTGCACGCCCTTCTTCCTCTCCCGCCAGACGAGCGAACGATCCCGTTGTTGTTGTTGTCTTTCCCCATCTCCGCGATGCCCGGTCCTGCCCCATCCGCCCACCGTGCGTAACCTTCGTCGCGGGGTGCCCGCGCCGAAACTCAAAGTGTCACGACTCACGGCTACCATGATCCGGCGAATCTTGATAAATGACGCAATGACGGCACCGACTGAGACCGAGGATGATTAATGGTCGCACCGTTGCGTTACGGCGGGCCGACGCGCACCTTCGATAGGGGAACGAGAGGACGATTGGACACGGCGTTGTTGTTGGTTGGTCACGTCTACGGTGTTCCTCGGTCGGCCTCGTCGAGCGCGCGTTTCCGCTGTGCTAAATCACAGATCCACTTCCGCGAGTCACGGTGTAGGGCAAAAGGGAATAAGATGACAATTTGTTAATTTTTATAACCTCTAATAATAAATAACGAGTCGGCATCGTCGTTCATCGATTCCCGATGACGCCTAACTCATTAGAGGCTTTTAACTCCTTCGCTGCCGCACCCCTCGACTGGTCTTAAAATGCCAAAAACAAAAGTTTCTTGAAAATTAATGAAAGCTTATGTAAGGAGGTTCTCGATGATGCTGATGACAAATGGCTCTGATATAATAAAATATTTCGTGAAAACGCGTTTTCGCGGCAATGAGCGCAGAATCTAAAATAAAAATTCTCGTCATCGGCAGTCAAAGAGTTGATAATAATAAATGATCGATTGTAGCTTGGCTTCGATATGTCAACAATAGCGTAGATAATAAGAAATATATTTTGGATACACCCACTACTCAGAAAGAAGTTGATCATTATTTTTACGTCATTACGAAAATGAGGGAGAATCGACAACCTTAAGGTCGCGCCACCTCCTTTTTCCCTAAATATACAGCGATGTCAGCGGCGAATCACAAGTCAGCCGGTATGGTGTTGACGCGCGGTCGTCGCTTGGAAACCTAAAGGCGAACGATCGGGTTCTCGCGATCGCGCAAATTATTTCCCGGGAAGTAGCCGGGATTTTTTCCGGCGTTTCGCCGCGCGGCACGCGCGAATTACACGTGTCACGCCCTGCACCACCACCGTCGCTCGACGTGGGCACATTCGTTGCGGGGACAACGGCTCGGGGAATTGCTCGTAGATCTACCTAGGTTGGTGCTTTTCGCTCGTGCGCGAACAAGCGGTCTTTATCGTTTCGCCGGTTTCACGAGTCCGGCTGCGGGACGCGCGCGCGGCGTGTACGGCGTATTAACGATATTTATTAGTGAAAACCAGTAAATTATAGCGCGTTGTTAAAGCGAAATACGGTCGTATCCGGTGGG